TCTTTCCTTCTCTCTAGAGCTAAGGCTGGGATGTGGTCGAGACCACCGCCCCTCCCAGTTTTTCCCGAGCCGGGCCCGGCCCCAGGGCCATGTAGGGCCGTGCGTAGGGCCGACTTCCAGGCTCCAAGATGGTGTGCAGACAGAAACGAAGTTCCCAGGGTGGCCGGCAGGGGGCAGAGTTTAATACAATTCTTTCCGGAAATGGTTCAGAGCGTCCAAAGTGGGATGGCTCTAGGTGTGTGTGGGTGGGGAGGGGGGCTGGTTCTCCAGGGGCCTCAGGCTGACTCGGCAGGGAGGAATTCCAGACATCATAGTTGCAGGTAAGGATTAATGAGGGGGTGCTGGCCAGGTGGGGCACAGAGTCCTCCAGGTGAATGGGACGGTGACAGGTGAGCAGTGGAGCCAGAGGACTGGGCCACCAGGAGATGGGGTGCCACTCCAGGGAAGAGGGGAGCAGGGGTGGGGGGAGGAAGCAGTGGCCCTGGGTGGGCTGGTGCCTCTGGGCCTTCACATCTACCCCACCGTCTCCCCAGACCTGGATGGACGGTGACGAGCTGCTGAGTGGTGAGGAGAGGGGCCCTCACAGAGCCCCCTCCTCCTATGGACCTCTCCTTCCCCCTACAGCTCCCCCCATCCTAAATCCCTCAAACTAGCACCATGAGTATTTGATGAAGAACACCAGCGCTCCAAGAATCCAGGCTGGTGGGGCTTTTCTTCATTCTTTTCTTCATTTCATTTCTTCAAATGGTGGGTCCTTCTATAGGGGACAAGGACCAGGGCTCTCCTGGGGACTCTGCCCAGCCTGCGTCTTCTGGTCACGACCTTGATGACAAAGGAGTTGAGACTCCAGGTTAAGCCAGCACACCTCCCAGCCACCCCCTCCCAAGGCCTCCAGGAATTTTATTGGTGGCACGTGCATCAGTGCCTTGGGCAGGAGGAGCGGCGTGAGGCTTAGTCACACCACGAAATAAGCTGGGGGCACTGAATCACCTGGAGGCCAAGTACTGGCCCCTGGTCTGTATACCCCCTGTTATAGAAGGGGAAACTGAGGCTCAGAGAGCTGACATGGCTCGCTCATGACCCTAGCCTCTGGGACAGACTTGGGAGGGAGGGGCGCAGAGGTAAGACAAGGAGAGTGCCAAGGACTCCTGGACAAAGCCCACCAAAGAGGCTGGCCAGGTGTTAGTGAACTGGTCGACCAAACCCACACTGGGGTCCTAGCTCGGGCTGAGACCCCCTGTCTCAGCCAGGGAGGTTTGATTTGCTCAGTCAATAACAAAACGGATGCTGAGACTTTCTTCAATGGCCAAAGAATGGAGAAGCGGGAACCTAGTTTGCAAGTCAACTCAACCCAATTCAGTTGGAGACACCAAATACATAGGAGGGTTGGAGTAAAAGGGAGGGGTTTGGAATGAGTGGGAGGAATATTCATGAGTTATCCAAGAACAGGGGTGTGGTTTGGACCTGGAACTGACGCAACTCTCCTTTTCAGTTCTCATAGGGGCTTTTCTGGTTGTCATCATGGTGATCGCCAGCTGTCCTGGTGCTGGTGGGTGTGTCATTTAGCTAACGTATAGAGCGTGTAGTAAGGCTCTAGATCTATTGGAAGTCGAATCCTCCGCCATCTTGAGCCTAGTTGGTTCTAATTGGTTCTTGTTTTTTTTTCTGTTTGCTGCTTCCTCCTGAAACTTAGATAAGAGTAATTGGTTTCTCTTCGAGGGAGGGACAGGGGTGTGATTCTGGGGAGACAACTTTGGTACCAGAGGGGCAGGGAGGATGACCAGGAGACAGAAGTGTCTTAGGAACCAGGGGAGGTGAGAAGTTCGGAGGCAGAGGTGACTGCTGCCAAAGGCCAGGCAGGTGGGGCACACAGAGTCCTGCGGTGCCCAGGGTTGGACAGCACAAAGGCCCTGGTCACTTTACAAGTCAGTGAAGTAACAGCCTTGGAGAGAGGACCCCAGGAGGTCCGGCCCCTGCCTCCGGTCACCAGCTGGAAAGACTGATGGGGTTTCCATGGAGGGCAGAAGCTCCTGGCCCACCCTGGTGCCCCGGAGGCTTCATCCTCCTCAGACCAATAGGGAGTATTGGAGAGAGCCCCACCCAGAGGCAGTGGACTCCACGGCAAGGCGGCTAGAGCATGGTCAGGGTCAGATAAAGCCACCAACGTGCTCCATGGGCACTTGGCACACGGTAGGCCCTAAGTAAACTTTTGCAAGTCATGCATAAGCAATATGGCTCTTTCTTTGCCGTGGTGGTGTTACCGAACACAAGTTCGTGTGCCCAACACACTGTGAAGCCAAACAAACCAAAATGTTGGAGTTTGGAGCACAGAAAGTTTTATTGAGGGCCCATGCAAGGAGAACGGGGCAGGGGCGCTCATGCCCCCCCAAATTCCGAACTCGAAGGCTTTCAGCAAAGCACTTTTATAGACCAGGTGAGGGAGGGGAGTCGCAGGGTATGTGATCAACTCTCTGATTGGTTGGTGTCACAGAGGTTAACGTTATCAATCCTTAGGCACCAGAAGGCCCCTGGGCTACGAGCTCATGATCATCAAGTAGTTAATTTCTTCCATTTGGTCGTGGGTTTTAGCATCTGAAAAATTCAGGAAATATGCCTGAGATACTGTTATCTGGGTACTTCAGAGAGGAGCTACAGCAGAAGATATGGAGGAGGGGTCTGTCCTGGGAAAGCCCCATAGGGTCCTGCTTGGTTCCAACGGCAGCCCTGCCCTACCAAACCACCACCGGCTCTACCAAGCCAGGGCCTCTGTTGGTCCACATAGGCCATCAGCAGTTCACTCCTCCCCCACATCCAGCACCCATTTCCTACCTGATCTGCTTGGTCCAGCTCAGTTTCCAAGAAAAGATGGCTATGATGGAGATGAGGCAGCCAGCCAGCACAAAGGTGGGTCCCTGGGGCAGCTCTCCTGTGAAGGAGGCGGGGGACAGCTGGGCTGGGCTTCCGTTAGGCCAGGCCAGGGTAGGCACGGCTGCGTCAGGGCACCCGTCCCTGCTCTGGGCACCTCCCACTGACCTACTCAGAAGCGCCAGCTGCCCCTCTGGAAACCAAGGGGCCCTCTCACCTGGGGGCACCAGTGTGAAGGGAGTGTGCTGGACACTGATGTCGTTTTCAGCCTGGCACCGGAACCAGTCCGACGTCTGGTTCAGGGGGAAGGAGAAGTTGGCTGGCTGCCCAGCGTTCCGAGTCTGCTGCATGTGGATGTGCCTGTTCCTCCTGACCAGTCTGTAGGTGATGGGTGGGCTGCCCGAGGATGCCTGGCAGAACACCTCTACCCTGAGGCCTGACCCCCTGTCCAACAGGGTGAAGTCAGCTTGCAGCTGGGACACCGGCTCTGGCAGGGTGGGAGAGGGGAGGAGCACAGGTGTGGCTGGGAGACTTTAATGCCCTCCCCCTAGACAATTCCCTCAGCACACATGTGCCTAATGAGCCTAGTGGCCTGATTGATTGATTGCTCCTCCAGGCAGCCTTCTGGATTGCTCCCTCCGCCTCACGTCTGAGCTTCTACCCTACTTGCAGTGTATACCATACAGTTTCATACATGTATTTGGTTTTATTTTCATGTGGTATATTCTGGGTTGCCAGACTTAGCAGCTAAAAATACAGGACACCCAGTTAATTATGAATTCAGATTAACAGTGAATAAAATGTAGGCAGTCTCTTAAAGATGAGACAGTCCAAAGAGGAAGAGGGCAACCAACATTTAACAAGCACCTTAAGAAAATGCTCGTTTGGCAATTCCTCAAAAAGTTAAAGAATTACCACATGACCCAGCAATTCCACTCCTAGCTATACACCAAAAGAATTGAAAACAGGGACGCTAACAGATACTTGTACACACATGTTCACAGCAGCACTATTCACAACAGCCAAAAGGCGGAAACAGCCTAGATGTCCATCAACGGATGATGGATAAACAAAATGTGGTCCATCCACATGACAGAAGAGTATTCATCCATTAAAAGGAATGAAGCACTGACACCTGCTACAACATGGATGAACCTTAAAAACATTATGCTGTGGCTTCCCTGGTGGCACAGTGGTTGACAATCTGCCTGCTAATGCAGGGGACACGGGTTCAAGCCCTGGTCTGGGAAGATCCCACATGCTGCGGAGCAACTAGGCCCGTGAGCCACAACTACTGAGCCTGCGCGTCTGGAGCCTGTGCTCCGCAACGGGAGAGGCTGCGATACTGAGAGGCCCGTGCACCACAATGAAGAATGGCCCCCACTTGCCACAACTAGAGAAAGCCCTAACACAGAAACAAAGACGCAACACAGCCAAATAAATAAATAAATTTAAAAAACCGAAAAAACACATTATGCTGAATAAAATACATCAGACACGAAAGGCCACATATTGTATGATTCTATTCATGTGAAATACCCAGAATTTTTTTTTTTTTTTGGTACGCGGGCCTCTCACTGTTGCGGCCTCTCCC